TAATTCTCTGCTGCCATAGAGAAGTTACTCCAGACAGTAAGTTCCCAGCATTTCCTGTCATCAAAACAAATCCTCCACAACAGTGACAAATATTTACCTGTATATCCCCATCTTCTCTTTAATAATGAACATATATACCTGGTTGAGGAAAAATGGAAAACATATAATCTGAGGCACTATTTTATTTACTCATCAAGAAGTTACTCACTCCAGCCACAAAGGATTTTACAAGGAGGGCATATATATTACACACAGCCCAATATGATGTTGTAACTCTCCCAAATAGCTTTTTCAGGGCCACATGGTGAGTCATATTATTATTATTAAATTCCAGTGATTCAAGTGGACCCCATTTATTTGACTTTCACTGAAAGCCAGGACAGGATATATGATTTCCTATCAAATTCATCGTATCAGAACCAGGAAGCTGCTCCTTCCAATCCCCACACCAGACTTAGTCAGAGAACACATGTCCCATTGCAGCTTCAGAGAAACCCCAAGATCTGCTCCCCTCCTCACTGCAGTATTCACCAGAGCAGCAACTCCTCCAAGCCTATAAAAATCATCTGGGCTTTTTCACGTGTAACACAGAAGATGGCTCAAAACCCAGCAAATGCTGCCTTTAACAATGCACAGGGGGTTTTGCCTGAGACAGACCTGCTCACTTCGAGGATACTCACTAGTTCTTCTTCCTCTCTGTCCAGGCAGCAATTTTCCCAGCAAAACAAAAAGTTCTCTGTGAATAAGTCACCTCACAGAAAACTGCCTGTGGCCCAAATTCCAAGTGCCCTGGTGGCAACCAGAGAAAGCAGCCTCAGCAGAAGTGTCTCCACACTTCACTCTTGCCATTCCTTCATTTTAGGTGGTATTCCTTTCACAGAAGAACCAACAAAACCTCTCTATCAGTTACATCTCTAAAATCAACATAAACATGACTTATAGCTCCATTTACTTGGAATGAGTTTTTCTTCTGAATGAAACTACTTCTCTGTTTTCAGCTTTCAATCCCAAGTCTTGCTGGTCTCCTGCTACAGAAAATTGGAAGTTGAAAGGGACTAAAGCAGAAAATTCACCACAAAATACACACTGACAAAGTACAACAAATATATTGAGCACAGGACTCATGCAGTCTGAAATACATGCATATATTGAACCTCCATTTAATAATGAACATGGCACTGCCTTCAACAATTTTGTACTCTGAAAAATTTGAGCAGAATTATTGCTTAGCACAATCTTACAAAGATTGTATTCTCAACACACACAAAACTGTGCCTGCAAATTCAAGTCAAGAACACATGTTTTTTAAGCCTGTGAGTTGCTGCAAGTTTCTAACTAGGATTCCACAGTGGAGCTCAAGAGTGTCTGGTCCCAGAGTCCAATCAATAAATATCCACAGAAATACTCCCACAATAATATCCTATATATTTTTCTTAGTATTCTTAGGAATACTATATGTTATTAACATTCTCAATCATCCTGCAAAATAATCGCCCTTACAGGCCACCCATTGACTGAACAGCAACAAGGAATACAAGAACCCAGCAACATAGAATTCAGAAAGCACTATTCCGTCACAGCAACAGTAAACTCCCATATTTTTAACATCCCTATTTGTGCATTTATTGACTATTCTGAAGTTATTTCAGATTTTCTGCTCCCCTTAAACAGCAAACATGTAAAGACAACCACAGCATAACATGCTTAATGTTATTTTTCTGTATTAGGGAAAATAATGAAATAATCCCATTTTGTTCAAAAGGCATTAATTCACAGAATTCACAGAAAGAGTAGATTGGAAGAGACCTTAAAGATCATTGAGTCCAACCCTGCTCCAACACCTGAAATAAACCCTGGCACCCAGTGCCACATCCAGGCTTTGTTAAATACATCCAGGGATGGTGACTCCACCACCTCCCCAGGCAGACCATTTGAGAACTTTAGTGTCCTTTCTTTAAAAAATTTCTTCCTAATATCCAACCTAAATTTCCCTTGGCACAGCTTGAGGCTGTGTGCTCTGGTTCTGTCAGTGCTGCCTGGGGAAAGAGACCAGCCCCACCCGGCTACAGCCACCTGTCGGAGAATTGTAGAGTGATAAAGCCACCCCTGATCTCCTTTTTTCCAGGCTAAACACCCCCAGATCCCAGTTGCTCATAAAATACTTGACCATGCTTAGACGCAGAGCTCTGCAGCAGTTTCATCTGGTGACAAGGCCAGTGATACTCCACTAACCCAGAACCATACAAAAAATAAGTAAAAAAGGACCAGACTGGCCAAGACCTCGTACCCAGTGTTTGCTGGGTAGTGCAGGATTTCACTGGCCTCACACAACACCACTCCCTGCACAGTTTTGCGGCATTTCCACAACTCAAAAGAATATGGTCATCTCCTGTATCTTGTATTTCTTGCAGTATGATCTTTATAATTACTGCTCCAACAATCCCTAGTGATCACTCAACATCTGACACTCAACTCCCTTCCAATTTTTTGTACCCATATCCCACTAATAAATAAGCTTTTTCTTCTTCTGCAGAATAATTGTCTAAACTATTCTAAGTACAGCCAGTAGTCTTCCTTCTGTTTGCATGTACGAGTCAGTCATCCACAATGCACAATATATTGATTTACAGAAAAAAAATGATTCACACAGAACTGCAGCTCCGGGAACCTATTTTAAAGCAAACAAACTGCTGATTTAGTGAAAGCACCAACTTGTCTGTCAAAACAAACTCTTGCTAAAATTTCAAGAGTTCCTGTTGAGAAGCCGTTCAGAGTAATTTTTTGTCTATCAACACCTCTGTAATTTTCTTTCAGCTAGCAAAACACACTTAGCATATCCTAAGGCAAATTTCAGAAACTGAACTTGCACATAAATGGAAGATAAATTTAAGTAGCAAAGAAAACATCTTCAATCACAAAGATTTTCTCTTATAAAGCTGGTTTTAAAATGCAGCAAGCTAATGAAACCCCTAGCAGTACTACTGCAGAACACTCAGATGCAAAATAATTATATATAGCACTCATGGCATAAGGCAGGATTTCCAGAACACAGATCAAGACCTGTGCCAGATCACTGGGCTGGATGGCATTTTTTATGTTTTTCAAGTTATCCATTATACTTCGTGACCCTGCACAGCAAATTTCTTCATTTCTGCTAATTATTGTTCAGAAAAACGCACAGCGCTTGGTGAGCAGAGTGACACCCACACAGCCATTTGAGTGGTAATTGCACTAAATCAGCAGTGTGGTGGGGAGGATACAGATGTGAGCCTGGCTGCTGAGACTGAGGCAGGCTGCCAGTGGCACCTGCTGGGCCAGGGCAGCAGCGAGGGTTTGACAGCTTCACCTGCTCCAGGTGCAGCAGCAGCGACTGAAACACTCTGTGAATTAAATCCTTGGAAATCATCCCTGCTATGAAATCCAGTTTGTCTCATTAAATTATTTTAAAAGGCATAAGCTCAAATTCCCCTCTGACAGGACTGTCACCTGTTGTGTTCTCCGTGCTCCCCACACACAGCTCTGGGCTTCTCAAAGGTCTTTGAGATTGTCTGAATGCTAATTAGGTGTCATAGTTAGGCTAAATTCTAAAATTTGCATTTCTGAAGTTAAAGGCACGAAGGCAGTTTACTGGTACAATCACACTGTGGAACCAGACTGCAGCAGCAAATCACGCCAGGAAAACCAGCTCACGTGGATTGTATTGCTACAAAGCTTAAAGCAAACACTGTGCATTGTTTGTAAAATCAAACAGCAGCTGCTGCACCCTCTTAAAGCCGGGGGAAAAGACGAGTAAGTTACGCGGTGAAATAAACAAAAACTTTACTGTTTACAATATTTACTGCTGTCCTCTAACTCTCACACTGCACTTGGCTAGGTGTTGGGGGAGGGAAGGGGGAAGAAAGGAAAAAAAACTTTTCTGTTTTAAAACACATACATCCATACGCACACACGCAAATATAATATACATATGTGTCTATATGGTGCTGGATAAGCGTTTAATCAGTGCGTGGCGTGGCCAGCCCGGCAGCCTCGGCCGAGGCTTTGAGTGCCCTCAGCCCGCTCCGCTCCGAGCCCGCAGCCGCGCCCGACTCCGGCGGCTCCGGCCGGCTCCTGCCCTGCTCCCCTCGCTCCCGACTCCGGCGGCTCCGGCCGGCTCCTGCCCTGCTCCCCTCGCTCCCGACTCCGGCGGCTCCGGCCGGCTCCTGCCCTGCTCCCCTCGCTCCCGACTCCGGCGCCTCCGGCCGGCTCCTGCCTTCCTCCCCTCGCTCCCGACTCCGGCGGCTCCGGCCGGCTCCTGCCTTCCTCCCCTCGCTCCCGACTCCGGCGGCTCCGGCCGGCTCCTGCCCTGCTCCCCTCGCTCTCGACTCCGGCAGCTCCGGCCGGCTCCTGCCCTGCTCCCCTCGCTCCCGGCTCCGGCCGGCTCCTGCCCTCCTCCGCCCCGTCATTCCGTCCTCGCGTCCGTGTTTACCGCAGGACGGGCGGCGCCCCGCGGCTGCCCGGGCAGGCTCCGCGCGGCCGGGCCTCCCCCAGCGCCGCTGCACAGCGGCAGCCTCGCCTCCTTGCACAGCAGTAAGTGTATTTTTGTCACAGCGGCAGCCTCGCCTCCTTGCACAGCAGTAAGTGTATTTTTGTCACCTGAAGGTGACCTCCCAGACTTTCGGTTTCCGGCTGTTCCCGAGGGTGGGCCCTGTGGCGGCAGGGTTGTGCTGACAGCGTGGCAAAGTCGGCTTGCGAGGCGCGGAGTAATGTGAGAAAATTCACAGAGCCGGAGGTTTGTGTCTGAAAAGGAGACGGAGGAGTCCTGTAACTTCGTCGAAATAAAGGGAGAGGCCATGGGGCATTTTCTGTGGGATCATTCACATGACTGGGGTACGCAGCCCCATTTTTGCCCTCATTTCCTATCCACATCCCCCTTTTGCTTTCCCCATCGGCTGGGGTTCTCACAAGGTACTTCCCACATCCCCTACTCCGAATGTCCCTCTCTACTATGTACCCCCCCTTTTTTTTTTTTTTTTTTTTTTTGTTCTTTTATGTAACAAAACACTGTTCATAATTCTGTAAAGTCTTTGTTCTTTCTAAGTTGAGGAATTTAACATGGCCTTGGCTGGGCAGCAGTCCGTGCCAATTAGTACCATTTTCTAGAACTGATAGTCTCTTCCATCACTTTCCTGTGTGTGAGTCCCTGGCCCTGTCTACAAGGAGATTCACACGGTGTGTTTGCAAAGCCAGTCATCTTATTCCTTTCACAAAGCCCAGCTTTCTCTGTGTCCAGTGGCCTCACAAAGTCATCTCCATCGGCTATGGAACGTTTTGCAAAATACGCCAATATCATGAAAGTGTGTTAAATAGATTTTGCAAAAAGTGAAGTCCAGAGAGTTTTAAATAATTTGCTTCTTTAATTCTTAGATTTTAATCCAGTTTCTTGAGACATCAAAATGTCACCAGTCAGGTTTAGAGTCCACCACAAACATCCTGTTTTTCATACTGATGAAAGGAAACAGAAAGTTTCCTCTGGTCTGACATTATGCTAAAAAATAAATAGGATTGTGAAATGCATTTTTAGGCTCTACTGTGTGAAATGCACATGCAAACAATAAAGCTTCACTCCTGCACAGAGGCCATGAGACGTACTTCAGATCTTTTGCTGTCCTTGCTGAAAGCTGGCCAAGAGATGGTTTTGGCAGTGGGGCTTTGGTTTCAGACTGGGAGCAGAGTTTTCACTTTTGAGGTTTAACTTCAGGGGGATAAAGTGGCAATGTGGGAAACGCTGAAATTGAACTTAATTGTGTGTGGCTGTGTATTTCTCCATGACATTTCCATGCTTGTTGTTGGTCCTGGTCTGTTCATGTGAAGTTCCATTTTTCACAGACTACAACTTGCAATTCGAGATATTAGGGAACTATTACTGTTAGTGTCAGGGAGACTTTTGTCATTTTCTAAGACAGAGAGAATGTTGGACAAAGACTACGCAAGCAATTTCTTATGCATAAGCAGTCCAGACTCTAGGTGCTTAACTTTTTTTGGGATTATATAATGATGAAAAGCCAGATTAGCAGTTTTGAAATGAACTAATGTGTCTATATAAATAATCTTTCTTACAAAAGGATCTAGAACATAGTAGAAAAAGCAATTCCCCAACCCCCTTTGACAGACAAAAGTCCATTTTAAAAAACTTTATGACACTGACATCTCGTGCCATCCTGGACCACTTATTTTGGCTGACCACGCTTACTAAACATAAAAAGTTTTTTCTGAAAAGTAGTAGCTCCTCTTTCTAGAGTTTGAATTACTGTTACATATTTTGTCAATATATGACTCCCTATAAAAGGAAACATTTCATTTACAGAAAAGACAACGAATCCAGATGTTAAATCTTGTGCATCGGGTTGAAAAACTAAGGATGAACTGGTGAGTGAACACAAATTAATGTGGCTCCACTGGTCCCAGTGGGAGCTGTTCTGTGCTGGCTGAGGTTCTGTCCTTCACCAGTTTTGTTGTAACTGCACCACAGATGTGCACTTCTGGCTTAGCTGCCTTTAAACATACAGTTTCCACTTCACATTAGTTTTTAAGAAAATATTTCAAAAATAAAATGCTTTAGAAGTGCAAATCCAGGGACCTCACTAGACAGGAAAGCTGGACTGGACAAATGCAGATCAGGCCAATGTGGTCAATCAAACGTTCTCTGTTTATTAGTTAGAAGATGGCAGTTTATATACACTTCAATATAGTTTACAGTTTACAAAGACACTCTCATTGGCAAGCTAACATTGTTTATCTTTGTCTTAAGGTGGACTAAACTTCACACTATAAACCTATACTAATTCACACCCAGAAAACCCAGTGCTTCAAATCACACCTTGATATAATTTCTAACTGCGCCACAAACTCCTAATTTCTAACTGCGTCACAGGCTTGAAGGCCTTCCAAGGCCCGTATCTGAGGCCTAGACCGAAGGAGCTCAAATCTCATTCCAAACATAAATCATGCCCTCTCTCTTTCAGAAATCCTCCAACAGATGTGAGAATAACTTCCTGAAGGCAACAGAGAGCTGGGTGTGATCCTAAGCTGAGTTGTCCATGAGCCCTCTGGATGTGGGTGAAATTGCAAACCATGCCTGAGGTACAGTGGTGTAAAGGGATGATGTGGGCAGAGGTGAGTACCAGACAAAAAGGTGAACAAGAGCTGAAGCACTGAGATGCTTCTCTGCAAGGGAAGAACAAATGACCACAGAAAGTTCCCCAGTGATAATGAAAGATGGGCTAATTAAAACCTGCCTTCCAGCAACCAAATGAAGACAGGGTTACTGCTACAGAAGCATGTCATGTTCTGACAATTACCTAAAGGGAATGGTAATCACTGGACTGGCTGCTGCTCTTTATCACTGAATTATTTTCATGCGTTTCTGGCCTAGTTTCAGGGGGAATTTGAAGCAACATGTTATTTATTCTGTTATATTAATATTAAGTAAAACAAGAATCAAAATACCCATGTCAAGATGTGAAACTATGAGTATGAATTCCAAGCCAAAGTTGTTCCAGATGTTGTGAATCGGTTTTTATAAGAAAATTTGGCATTTAATGCAGGTCTTGAGATGCAAACTCCCAGGGTTTTACACAGTTTGTGCACACTGAGGCTGTAGAATTAGGGAGTGTAATTGTAAATTAATAAATAATCTTTTAGTTCTTGGCATCTGCTCTGTTCTGATGTGTAGCTCAGATCTGAAGAAAATTCTATTGGGATGAGATGGAGAAGAGAGACATGAGAGAAGTGTTCATTAACCTTTCCCCTCCATAGCAGAGTTGGAGAGCATTTGTTTGAAGCTTTGCTGATAGTCACACAACTTTGTCTTTACACAAGTAAAGGAAATGCACAGCTTTTACACAGCTTGAACCTAATTAAGTGCTGCAGTTACAGCTACTTTGAACATTACATAGAATATCATAAATACATGTGGGCAAGAAAATGTTGACCTCTTGCAAATGAAAATCATTCTGTTGGTTGATTGCTGTTGGAACGAAAGGCAAACATTAGCAAATCCAGTACTACCGAGGCAAGTGGGAGGAATCAAAAGGCTAAACTGCAGTACAGAAACAAAGCAAAACAGGCTCCGGTGTGCAGATTCCTCTGAAGTCACAGAAGATAAATGAGTTAAGGTAGAGACAGGGCAGAATACAAAGCTTTGTCTGAAAGCCAAGAAAAAAAACCAAAGCAACTTAAAAAGGCTCGAAGAACAATCATAACACTTTTTAACTTGGCTGAAAAGGAAGGCTTATCTAGAAGATAAAATACAAACAGAGAAAGGGAGATAAACAAAATTTTTCACTTGTTTTAGGTTCCATGACCATCAAAGCAGTCTTTTTTTTTTTTTGTCACAGGTGAAGAGAATGAAATGTTTGGTTCATTTCTTTCTGTTTTTAGAGAGTGTCTCAGATGTGCATTTTAAATTGCTTTAGGTTATTTGTTTTCCTCTCTCTCCTTAATCCTCCACTGTTTGTAAAGTTATGTCAGTATGTATAAATTGTTTTTGTAATTTCCTTTATTTGAATTATGTATTTACTTGTATTTTGAATTTTATTGGAGCTAAAATAGCTTGTTTTGTTTTCATAATTCTTTCTATGACATTCCATATTATCTTTCCAGCACAGTAAGTGGTATTACTGGCTGATAAAATCTTACAGTTTTTTGGTATTTTAATCCCAATTTAAAACAATTTTCAGGTTATGTCTGGATGTAGCAACAACAACAACATAAAGCACGTCCAAGAGAAATTTTGTAGGATTATTTAAAAATAGATTTCTTAATATAAGACATTTGATATTGTTTTTTTCAAGTGGATTTTATGAAAGTATTTGGCACCTTGCTTTTCATTCATGCATTCTTTGGGATCTCTGTTAGTGAATATTAGTGTGCTGCTATGTTCTTCTGTAACCTACAGAATTTAACTGCAGGTATTTCTAATAATTGTACTGAAAACCACAGCACCATTTTTGTCAAATGTCAGCTTTCCTATACCTAAAGCCTCTGTATCATTGGAAATTTGAGATTTAATAGTTTTGCTGAGCTGAAAGTGGGAGTAATCCCATTATCAACAGGAAACCATTCTTGTTTTCTTGGTATACCTCTGTTCTAATTCAGAAAGGACCAAGACAAAAAAATACTGCTACTGTAATCTGTAATATATTTCTGTGCAGCAAAGCTGCTGTAACATCCCCACCGTGGATCGTGGGTAGCCAGCAGAGTTAGAACTTCTCTCTGTGGTGTTGTCCAACACCAGCACTTGCTGGATCTCTGTGTGCCCTGTGCTGATGATTTTAAGTAAATTGCATTTACATCAAATGTGGCAGGAGTCAATATGGAAATGTATCATGGTGGCATATTTCTTCTGATAATGTTCTGACTGCAGAGTGCTCGCTGATCCCTTGCACAGGTAGGGCACAGAGAAAGGAGATGAGTCCAGGACTGGAAAGCATTTGGGTTTTCATAAAATTTGGTATCTAACACATTTCCCTTTAGAAAAGATACAGAGAGGATTTTTAGTTCTTTCAATGCAGACCAAAGACTAATTTCAAACTTTGAAAGTTTGTTGTGAACCAGAGCTGGCATTTTTTGGGAGCTCTGTAAATTTTAGAATAGCTTCTCTGTAACACCGAATTGTGTAATGCAAAAAAAAAAGAATATAATATATGGCTTTCATTATTGCTTTTCTGAGAGAAATTGCTGTAAAGGCACATCATTCTCCACTCTCAGAAACTGAGGTACTGCAGCCTTTGATTCTGCTGCCACAGCCACACAGGCTTGCTGAAATACTCAAGTTTGTTGCTATTTTCTGATAGCAAACCATACTAGCAGGTTTTTTTCCTGCCATATAACCTCCTTTTCCTCTCCTGGAGCTGTCAGGAGGAAATTGAGAGATTTTTTTCCCATCCTAGAACTGATCTCTGGTTAGTACAGTGGGATTTTTTGGTCAGGAGAGCATGGGGTTTGTGTTTTGGGGAGGCAGCCAGTCATATGCTTGCCTTCCCTGGGTACCTGGTACTGCCATCCTCCTCAAGGACTATTGAGGCACAACATGGTTTGACTTTAAAAAAGAAATTAATTCTTTTTTGTTCATATGTGTACACCTTGTTAGGACATGCAATTTAGGACATGTACACGTTAGGACATGTACTTTAGAGAGTAAAAATTAAATGTGTTGTAAACATCACATTTTACCCATGTTTTTACTAGTATTTCTTTTATCTTCATCAGCTAGATTTCTTTCTCTCATCCCTCACCAGTTTAGTTTTTAGTGACTTAGCTAGAAGATTATTTAATCTATTTTACATAAACTTTGAAATTATACAATGAGGCATAGTCAAAATGCTTAAAATCTTGATTTCAGTGTCAATTAATGTAAAGGATCTTTTACAAAGCTGTATTGTGCAAAGCAAAGCATCAAGGCTTGCATCCATCCATCTTTATTGTTCCTCATTTAGGCCCAGATCCACACTTCCATGCCAGATGGCAGCTGCGGAGGAGTTCCAAGTTCTAGCAGCAATGGATGGGAAGATAAGTGCCTCTTGAGAAGGGAAAGCCAGATTGCAGATTCCTTTCAATTGCACCTGATGACTTATAGCCAGTCACTAATTGGTTTGCCCATACACGGCGGCATATTCAGAATCCAGCAGCAGTGCCTGACTTTGTCTGGAGCTCTGCTCTTCCTGCAGAGATGACTGCTAAAATAAACCCTTGCAGAGAAAAATATTTTATATGAAGCTCTGGGAAAAGCACACATGGCGGGGGAGTGGGGGTGGGAGGTGGGGGGGGGGGTGGTGTTTAAATGGGTTTGGTTTGGTTTTGGTTTTTTTTGTTTTGTTTTTGTTTGTTTTTTTTTCTTTTTTGGGAGTGTTTCATTTTGTTGTTTGTTTTTTTTCATTTAGGAGAGCCATAAAATCTTTTGTAACTGTCATTGTTAGTTATTAATGCAAAATAGTGTAGCTGGCTGTGATATGCTAACAGTTGACAATATATGCATATTAAAACAGAGACAGAAATGACAAATAGAGCTTTGTCTATTTTTCATTAAAGATAAGAATGTCTTCATAAAAATCTTCCTTTCCCACATATTTCTGAGTGCATTTTCATTTTAGTCCTGGATGGGGCATTTTACTTGTTTTGATAGCATCCTGAGAACAAAGAGAGCCAGCTATGAAAAACACAGAATAACTCGGGAACAAGAAACTGCTGGTTGTTCTCACCACTTGGAGGCCATGAGCAGCTGAAGTATCTCTGGAGTTGCAGAGCAGTGTTGATGATTGCCATTGTTGTTGATGAAAGACAAAAGCTGTGTGTAATGGTACAGCCTACAGCCAAGCTTGCAGTAAGCCCTTTAAAAGGTGAAGTATGCACTCAGGAAACAGCATTCCTCATGCAGTGAATGTCAGTAATTTTCCAGCTAACACAGAACAAGCATTATCTCCTGAACTCATCAACGGAAAGCATTTTCACTAGATGTGTTTTACTGAATGCAGTGACAACATAACAGTTATGTGGTAACATAAAAAAACCCCAGCTGTCTGTGTTATAAATTATTATTAGTTCTCCTGAAGAAAAAAACAGGGGAAAACAGGCTCTGTAATTAAGATCTTCAGTGTCCACCATCTTTGTTACCCATGTGCCTGTGATCACAATCTCAACAAAACCAGAGATGAAGCTGTGAGTGTGCAGCAAGTCAGGGCTGTAACACCACACAAGTGCGTAAAGAGCACATCTTGTTAAATAAACATAAAGTAAATAAATCACTGGGAACTAATGGTGCTAACCAATGGTATTCTCAACAAAGAAGGCTGTGAAAGAGTGGAAATATTCCCAAGTACAGCACAACCACATTAAACATGTGGAGAGATCACCAGGGAAAACCCAACACTTCAACTGGACCATGAATTGAATTCATCTCTTGCAAGTTATTGTTTGCTTCACAAAATCGCTAAATTGACTTTGCCTGTTGAGGGCCCCATCAGTAAAAGATAAAATAAAATCACAGACCAGCATCCAATTGCAAATGAAATTGTTTAACACTTGGATAGCTGTGTAGTCAAATCCACAGTCCACAGGGAAATGATATTTAGACATCTCAAATGTGTTAGAAAGCAAAAAATGTAGATTCCTAAAAATCCTAGTTCATGTCTTCTCAGTGTTTTACTTTGGTTTTGCTCCAGACCTAAAGGAGAATGGGGTACTTGCAGTGGCCTCACCTCTAGAGCTGAGTCAATGGCCTTGTAGCTGACATGACTTGAAATTCTTTCTTGAGGTGGGAAGAAATTCTCCTGCTCATCAGCAAACACCACAGGGTGGTTAGGTGAAAAAAGCACTTGTGTAGCAGAACACTCTCGCTTTTGGGTTTGATGATAGCAGTGAAGAGTCACTTATCCAATACAGGGCAGGTCTGCCGCTATTCCTCAAGCAGAATTTAACAAATGCTGCCCTGGGTTTGTGTGAGTGAGTGACTGCTGTGATAGTGCACCCTCAGAATGGGGCTTTGGGAGCAGTGCACTCACTTGGGATCTCTGCAGAGTGATCAGTGTAGTGGGGTCTGTCATGGCTGTGGCAAAACTCTGACCTTGTTTGATAAATGCCTCTCAAAACATAGCTGTGTATTGGTGAATGAAAATGTTTGGCGTGCTTTGTATTCTAAAGGAACCTTAAACCCTCTGAGGGAAAACCGCTGCCAATACAGGGAAAAGTCTGTTACAGTTTGAACAAGCTTAGAGATGAAACCCAAATATTTGGAGGAATGGCTGCAAAGACAGCAAAAATTAAAGTACGATGCAAAGAGATATTTGGAATGGTTTCCTACTTTGTAGGGATCTGAAGATAAACACTTCCTAAGAATAAGAATGGTGAAGTAATACCAGAGTCCTTATCTGAAATCTCTTAAAATGTTAAATTGAATGTTATCAGTTTTTTTCCATGACAAGATTTATGTCAGCCTGTATGTGTAACAAGGTAGTGTAACAGGTGAGATTATCTATGGAATCGTGTCCAGCTGGGACTTTTTCCTCTGTAGCATTTACAGAGGGCATCAACCTCAGGCCATGGAAAACAGAATACTGAAGGCAGGGCACCTAGTCGGGTCATGGTGAGAAGAGTGTGGTCATGGGAGTCAATGTTAATGGAACTATTCTAGATTAGGTCATGTTTCTGGTTTTTGTTTTTAGTTTGCAACCTGTTACAAATAAGGTCATGTTCCGAGTTCGTGACTGGACACTTGCCTTCAGATACCTCTGTACCTGGGTGCATTTGGTGTGCCCACAGGTCTTTGGCTCTTGCTCCTCAGATAATTAGGTTTTTCCATTTTTTATTTCGCTATTAAAGATTCTTTATTTTTTTGCAAGTTCATTGTACCCGTTCCTCTAGTTTATGCCATGCAGGATTCATCCTGGCCAAGCAGGATTCAGGATAGCAGTGAGTTGGACTGCAATAATTATCAGATAGAAGCAACCCTTAACCAGATTTGGTTTGTGACAAATCTACATTTGTGACTTTACAAATCACTATAAAAGTAACAGATGCTTTACTTCAGGGCATTTCTGTTTCACTTGTGAGGCATTCAGTGTTGGTTATGGTCAGAGAAAATTCAGATGCACTATGGGGCTGATAGTGCAGTTGTGGCAAAATGACAAAAATAATTTGTATGTGAATTTATTGCTCTTGAAGATGCTGGCTTAAATGGCATAATATACAACAAATTCACCTTTAGACATGCAGCCTCCAAACATGGAAAAGTAGTTTGGTTACTGTACAGCTAAGAGAGAATGTTTACCAATGGAGGAAAAATTACTCCTCTTTCTCCTTGAGATTGAATGCCATTTGTTGAAAATTTTAGAGATTGTTTTCTTCAGTCTTATTTTTCATTCTGGGCTGAATTCAAAGGGGTTGTGAGACCTAGATCAGTGAGTTTGTGCTTGAAACCATGCAGGCTAGTTGACCTTAGTTAGAATTTTTTGGTGAGAATGGAGGTGCTGGAGATGCTTATTTTTGGTGAGATGAAACATCCTACATTTGAGAATAAGCCGTCTGTTAAGTTCGTCTCTTCCTAAGCTGGCAGTGATGGGATGACAGCTCTGCATGAACAGTAAGGACTTTCCTGTGCTCTGTTCTGCCACAGAGACATCTGTGTGTGGATTTTTTAGACTTTTGGTGGGTTTGTTAAACTTGGTGTTTTAAATTCTGTAACCAGTGGGTATATTTGTTAGTGTGACACGTCACACACATCTATCCAAATACAGCAGTGAGTGATTTATTTGTGAGGTCAAACCTGTTACAGAAGGCGCTGTCTCTCTGATGGGTTCAAGGTGCTTTTCAATGAATCATTGCTCTAATAAATCATATTGTATATATACTGGCATATCCAAGTCAGGATATTAATTCCCCAGCAGTGCCTGTCATGAATATGGAGTTTAAAAGACCTGAGATGAATAAAGCATATGGCCTTTACATTTCAAGACTCTATCTGTAATTCACTATACTTTCTTCTTGATGCACAGACAAAGGTGAATTAGTTCCAGACAAAAATGCATCAATGCTCTATTGAATAGTCAATTATTAAACATGTAATGGGATCTCTGGTTATCAAAGCATGCTCAGTATGTGCACAGAGTACATAATTTGCCCCAGAATGGAGCAGAATTGGTCTATTTTGAAAAAAAATCCAGGCAAAATTATATTAATATGGAATTAAAACAAGTTATTGCTGCTGCTGTAGAATGAATGGGCTTACTTGACTTCATTACCATCCCAAAGACCTAATTTCAGAGTCTTATTATATGTACAAACCTAGAAAAAATACCAGTAAACAACATTATTTTCCTTGCCATCAAGAAATAGTCTGTCCAATTTATTGTGTTCTGTTTAGTGGAGAAATAATGTTTTTGACAAGCCTACGTGAAGGCAAATGTTCTCACAAAAATGTCCTGGCAACACAGTGACTTGCTTGTATAAAATAAAAAAAAGGAAGTTATTGCTGAACAATGAGGAAAATACTCAATGAATGTCACCTGGATGAGGTTTTAAGTATTTTTCATTTCCCTAAATTTTGTTCAGGAGAAAAAGTATTTGACTGTTTGATTGTTGACATTGTCATCAACTAGAAACATTATTCAAGCTGCGGCTGTTTATTATTTCACTGCAATTATGTACCATAATTACTGCATTGGACCATTCATCTATTGCATATTTTTGATTTGTATTAGGAAAGCTGCAGATTTATTGCAGTGTATGAAAGGCACCATTTAAATCAACAGACAGGTGGGGTTTAGGGAAACTTCATTCTCAGTTGCATTAAATGTAATTATGAATATAGTTGATTGCATTGTTCCTGTATATATTTTCATGATTTATTTGTTTAAAAAAAGTATTTTTTGCTCTGTGACTTCCAAAAATACTTTTTACTAATATTTTTTGTGGCATAAGTAATTACAGTTATTTGCATGCTGTAATAAAAATTGCAAAATCTCCCTTTAGTGAGATTCAACAGTTTGCCATTAATTTATTTTCAAAAAACACATGGACAGTATGTGAGATGATACCCATTTATTATTGATACTTCATGTATATTAAACATGAAATATGAGTGATGGAGTCTTTATATGTCTAAACTGATATATCCAACATAAAGGAAAAAGCAGAAAATTTTTAACTGTAAGATATTGCAATGATTTCTTGGCTAATACAATAACAAAGACTAATTTTTCTTCATGAAAGAAGAGGCACAGAGAGGCAGAAATTCAGAAGTGAAAACTATGTTGCTTTCAGAGGTACCTTTTCATCTAGAAATTGGAATTTCTGTTGGAATTGGAATGCAAAAATTAGTTCTTGATTCTGTGATCTATAATTTTTTAGGGGATTCTTGTCAATTCTTACTGCAGAATTGTTCTTTTGTGAGAGATGCTTAAGACCAGAATGATTTTATGTGCAAAAAAAAAAAAAAAATTCTTAGCTGAATTACCTCATGCAGAAGAAAAGTTTGCAATGGAGGTGGGATAGCATGTCTCCATTTCTGCATAGGGCATGTAAATGCTTCTGAAGGTGGATGGAGCAGGTGGAGTTCT